ATAAAAAGAAAAGAACTTCTAAATTATGTCTCAAATGAACTCACAACAATCTCTGTTTTTAGAGATTTAATTTTAAAGTTGTGAATCTTTGATTATATTATTTCAATAAAAAATCATTTCCTTTTATTAGAAAGATGTCCCTCTAAATAATTAAGGACAAATTGATTCATTAAATTGATTAAACTTTTCATTCTAAAAAAATATCATTTTTCATATTTCAGGAAATTGTAAATTTTCACACAGAGCAATTAACTCCACTAAGAAAGCAATCAATTACCCTTTTGTATTTTCAATTTTCAAAATGTTATCTAGAGCAAGGTAGTTGACTCCTCCTTAGAGCGGTTGGCTTCTTTCAACTTATAGATTACATTTGATACGTGACTAGTCGACTATTTCGTGTAGCAATCAACTATTTTCAATTTTTAGAATAGTTCCAACTCCAATCTCCTATAAGACAATCAACTTCTCTCTTATTTGCGGTCAACTACTATATTCTTAGATCATTTTCTAGAAGACTATCAATCAATAGCAGTGAATTATTCTAAACTGGTAGTCAACAGCTAATTTATACCGCATCTATGTTTAGCTTCTTTTTGTCAAGATAGTCGACTTCTATGTGCAAGGTAGACGACTACCTATATGATCAATCTTCTCTATTTAATTCTCTTTAGATCTAGAATCATATCCTTGATCTTGGAATCATATCTTAAGTTATTTAGTAACTTAATATAATTTCTCTTTCTCTTTGATTAAACTTAATCAAATCATTTTCATATTTTGAAAATATTTCTAACAGTAAGAATAACTGGTATGGAACTAGTGCAATGCTCAAGAATTGGAATAGGCTAAAAGTTGTTCTTAGCAGAAATTTGGAAGCATCGTCAAGTGTCATGCGAAGATCCTTCTTATTATACAAGTAATCAGTAGATTTATTGAATTGCAGGCTAAAGTTGAAGTTTACATAACTAACAAAAAAAAAAAAATGAAATAACATAATTCAAGTTCTCACAAAAGGACATTGGAGCTTCCAACCTGCACCCGATAATATCCTCAAAATGATTGCAAGTGGTATGGATACGATAGTCATATGATTTTGCACTCGTGTTAGTGGTGCCTTGCCTAATGCATTATTCAACTTTTTGAATTTTATTTCTTTTGTTACCCTTTTCCCTTAAAAAACTTTGTTCCAAAATAAATTATAATATAACATAACATAAGCACAAACTTTGTTTTCGATTTTAGCAATTCCACGAGAGTAGTAAACTTTTTAATGATTGATATTTTTGCCACTTCTATTTTTGTTATTCGCTTTTTATTTTTTTTGAAAATTTGCTGTAAAGAAAATTAAAAATGAAATATAAAACATAATGTCATAATTGATTTCAAATAGATAAATAATTAAAATGTAACACCAATTATAAGATGATTAGCTTATACAAAAGTAAACTTATATTTCAAATAAATAAATAAAACATAATATTAAGGTTAATTTCATCAATGACCCTTAAATTATAGTAAAATATTCAATGTGATACCAAACTTTAAATATCTCTAATGTGATATTTGAATTATAAATCTATTAATTAGTATAGTACTTACCATTAATGTGGGTAGCTTCAAATAATGATATATGACTAACAAATAGCCTTTCAAATATCACATTAGTTAATAAATTCATAGTTTAGTTACTATATTATAAAATTTTAAAATTCAAGCATTACATTACATATTTTAGGCACCACATTAAATATTTCACTATAATTTAGGAGTTATTCATGATATTAATTTATTTTATTATTTTTAAACATACATATTTTGTGTTTTATATATATATATATATATATATATATATATATATAAGGCCTGTTAATTTTACTCAGTTGAAATTTTTATTAAAAAAAATTGTTGGAGCATAGGTGTTTTAAAAGTGTTGTACAGAGAATTAAAATAGTGATTGCTAAATTTAATATAGAAGTACTGTAGAATATTGAAAAACTATTTAATTGTATTTTTGTATATTTTTAATAAATAAAAAATAAAATAAAAATTTTATTAAATTAAATCAAAAGTTTTTAAGTGAAAATAAATAAAATAAAAAATATTTTTGTTAATTATAATAAAAACAAATGAATTTAGAATAAAATTGATCAAAATAAAAAATGTGAAACAATATAAAATTCTCTTTATAATTTTGTGAATTATTGAAGATAAAATAAAAATGTAAAAAATAAAATAAAATCTATAACATACAATTAAAAGAATCCCCAAAGATTCTCCAATGGACACCTATCTTATTATATAAAATAAAACCATTTCAACTCTTAGTCAATTATAACTCTATATATTTATATTTTATATATTAAAAGCATCATATTAAGCAGTAATGATTGACACTTTTTAGTTATACAGGTGAAATTAATAATTGATTGTATTATTTTTGTTGGATTATTTATGGGCTATTCCAATACTGGAACTTTATTATTTTTGTTGGGTTTAAAGAGAGGTAAATGAATTGAGATTTTGTTTGATTCATTTTAGAAAAACTTATATATCAAACTCTATCAACTTAAAAACAAACTCTATCAAATGAGATTTTTCATATTTAAATTTCTTTTCCTTTCTTTTTAAGGGGGAGTGGGAGATAGAGAAATTAAAATAAAAAAGAAAATTGGTGTGATAAGAAAAAGGCCCAATCCAATGAGAGACGGGGATTGATAATTTGTTATATAAATTTTTTAATAAAAATAGATAAAAATATATAATAAATTAATTATTTGAAAATTAAAAAATGAGACTAAAAATAATTTTTTAAAGTAAATTCTTGAGATAAAGATAGTTATCTCAAGTTAAAGAGTCTTAAAATTCCTGAATATACATGAAAATTAAGTAAATATATAAAAACATTTGAATACGCAGTGACATAAGAGTATTGGCAAATCTAAACATTTATATACCCAATATATACGTAATATAAATATCTAATGTTGCAATATTTATAACTTTTTCTATAATTTTTTTAAAAAAATTTTAGTCAATTGGTCAATACAACATTGTAAATATTCCAATTTATACAGATTTTAATTTTTATTAAAAAAACAAAATGATATGATAAATTAAGTTTGTAATTGTTAAATACTTAGTTGTAATTAAAAAATGAATAAAAAATATTTTAAGAAATAAAAATGAATAAATTATTACAAATATCTTTATTTATAAAATATATTTTGACTATTTAATTTTTATATATTAAAAAAAAAATATATATATATATATAAAAAAATCCCACGACGAAGTAAGGCATGCATTTTAGTTTTGTTATTAAAATTAGCACTTCTTGAAGAAATTTTAATTTATAACTCTACTTAAAAAGTCAAATTTACTTCTTCAGTATGCTAAAATTCTTAGATTTTAAATGCTAAACACATGACTTCTGCTTTTATTGTAAATAAAATCTTCTATAAGTTTAGAAAAACACTCACATGGTGTTTTAATTTTTTTTTTATACTTAAATGCCTTTTTTTTTTTTCTTTTCAAAAGCATAAGTTAATAATAAAAATAACAGCCATACGAAATTTTTATATTATATGATAAAAGTATCTCGCGACTTTATTTTAGTCTAATTTCTTCTTTAGGTGATCTTAGGAACCCACTTAAAATTTTTTATTGTTTGATTTGTGTAAATCTTTTATAAAAGTATCATTCGGCTATAAAGATGGTAACAAAGTAGAGCATCTGTTATTTTTGAGGTATTTATTTCCGAATTTAATTATATTTTATATTACTTGAATCCTAAAAATATTTAAAACTTTTTTGAACATTACTTCCCAAACCTACCCTAATAATTTTGAAATATCCGTTTATTAAACTTAATAAACGAATATATATATATATATATATATATAAATATCCAAATCTTGGCAAGTAACTCTTGTTACCAAGAGTATTATGAGCAAGTGAACCAATCTTAAAATTTGAAGTGATCTACTGTCAAAATTAAATTATATCTAGCTAACAATATACTTTACTTATTATTTTAATTACAAAGTGTGTTAGAATATAATAAAAAATTTAATTAATTATACTCAACATTTCTAAATTCTAAAAATAATGACTGAAATTAAATTAATAAAATTTTAAAGAAGTGAGATACAATTTTTAACAAATTGATAATCTAACAAACATAATATTTTAATAGAATGTATAAATCTTAATATATATTTATACAAGTAAGGGAACAACTTATGTAAAAATTTTATATTTTTTTAATTATTGATTTTAATAGATTCAAAGAATGTGATTAATTAATTTATTTTTTCACTTGATTCTCTTTTACCATGGATATATTGAAATCAATGATAAAAAAAAATGTAAAACTTTTTTATTTTATATTAGTGTAAGTTGATTCATTCCATTTATTTTATATATTATATTTATATATATATTTTTATAATTTTTTTAATACTAAATTTAAAAAATTAAGAAGTACGATGTAAACTATACAACAATTAATGTCTAACTTGTTTTTTTATACTAAAGCAATTGAACTTAAAAATAAAAAAAAAATTATATGTTTTAAAATTAAATTTTAAAATTATTAAAATATTTATAAAAAATAATTATATATATTAATTGAATTCAATATTTTACATGGGCGAAAGGCAACGACGTTGCCGGGTTCCATACCAACTATTTTTACGTGGAATGAAAGCAAAGGCAAAGAGACTACTTTGCCTGTGCGGATTGAATTTAGTACTAAAACAATTTGCAGTAATGAACTCCACGAGTTTCTTTTAATGTGATATTATTATTAAAATTGACAACTCATATTAAAGTGTGCTACTCATTTCAACTTTAGAATTCCAACCAAAACAATGCTCGTCAATATAAAATCCAAAGTTTGTTGAGACCCATACTCTCTGGCAGTCTGGCTAAAGAAAACGACCTTAGCTTGATACCTCAATTGTTCCATTCAAGTTAATCATGCACGCCACGTTTTAATAAGCAAAAAATGCAAAATTCTCTTATAAATAAAAGCCAAAACTCATCCCATTACATTAATAAAAAGCACAAAACATTTATTTCTTTGATTTACTAAAATAAAATAAAATTTAACTAGTGAAATTTGCAATGGTGGCATGTGGCTCACAAGCCTTAGCAGCTGGGGTGGCTTCAACAGCTGGGCTGGGCTCAACAGGCTTGCAAAGCAGCTCTTCTGGGACTTCACCTATGCCCTTCAAATAAAATGTGTAGAAAATCTTGAAGGGGAAAACAATTTGCTGCAGCTTTACCTGACCGCTCACCCCTTCAAATATCCCTGACCCTCCAGTAATAGCCAGATACGTGTCCTCGTATGTCAAGTATGGCCCCTGCACCGCAATGTGGCCGTAGTCCCCAAAGTAAAAGCTGAAGATCGCCTCGTACCGGTCACCTTTCTTTTCCGGTTTGTTCTCGATTAAAATGCATATCCCTGCTGTTATTCCTATCCGTTTCTGCAAGTCGCCGGTGTATATCTGAAATAGAATTCGGATATTTTAAATATATTAATATTTTGTTTTTGTCGGGAAGTGCTTTTCCTGGAAAGGGGTCTTTTTCTTTCTCTGATAGAAAAAAAAAGTTGCAACGCACTAAACTTATACTGATTTTTTCTCAAGAAACAAACAAAAAAAATAGACCTAAAATTTCACCATTTTTCAGAGAAAAGTCAAAAAGTAGAAGATTAAAGTTCAACAACAACCAAAATTTTGCCTTTTTTTGTTGGTTTTCTCAATTAATTTAGGGAAGAACTTACTTTGTTGCTAAAAGGGACCAGATCACCAAGAGAGTTAACAGGTTTCTGACTCAAACGAAGATAAGCTGGACTGCCACGATCTCTCTCATTGATCTCATAAACATGCAATTCTTGAACTTTGTCTGAAACAAAGAAAACCCCAAAAAAGTTAATCAACAATATCAACCCAAAAAACCAAATCAAATTGAAAAAAAAATTGAAGTTAAAAAATTGGCTTTGAATCTAAATGGGAAAAAATTTACTGGGTGTTGAGTTATCAGAAGGAATAGCCTGGCTTTTGCAAGTGAAAGATCGTTTGGTAACTGAGAAAGCATTGCAGTTTGATGTAAAAAGCTTGTGACTAAGAGTTAAAGATGAGTTTTTGATGAGGTACGAAGATGAAGCGTGCAACAGGGAATTGGTCCTTGAAATGAAGTTTGAAGATGATGATGATGAAGATCTGGGGTTACCTAGTTTCACAGGAGAAATGGTTGTTCTAAGAGCAGAGCTTGAGGCAGCCATTGTTGAGGCTTTTTTTTTCTTTAAAATCTTTTATGAGTGTTTTGGAGGAAATGATGGACACGGAAGAAAGAGTGGGAGTGGAATTATATAGAACGGGGGAAAAGATAGAAAAGTTGCTGGTGGACGGTGAAATTTTTGTCACGTGTTATTTTGGGTGTAGGGAATGACGGTGCAACTATGGGTGTGGATCGTCAAAGGAGTCTTCAATGTACAACTGTTCGAAAAACGATTGCGGTTGAGTAAACAATCGATTAATTCAATTGTAAAATTCGACTAATCGATTTAATTAATTTAATTTATTATAAAAAGTAAACTATCAATATATATATATATATATATAAATAAAAAAATTAAATTAAAATAATCAATTTTGATCAGTTTTTTTGAATTAATTGATTTTAATTTTAATTTTTTACATTAAATATATCTATATCATATTATTAGATATATTTATATTATATATTTTTTAATTATTTATTTTATATTAAATTGAATATTTTAATTTATTTAATTTAAGTTTTTTGAAATAAAAATTAATCATTTTAATAATTTAAATTAAAATAATAATTGAAATATTTTTATAATCCGAATTATTCAATCCAATTTTTTTAAATTAAATTTTTTTTTATTTTAACTAAATTTTACTCGACCCTCAAAACGATAATAAGGAGAAATTCCCTTAGTTTTTGTTTATTGTATAATACACGTCATTTAACAAAATAAAAAAGGACGGAAACATGTCTGATTTTTGCTTTGAAAAAACTGTCTTTTTATATTTTTGGTAGTTACCGGCTGAAAAAGGAGTGAAAGTAATGTTTCCTTTTTTTTTAGAACTTGAAATGGGATAATAAGTTTGCTTGCCATAAGAAGACATTAAAACAAATGCCGCCCAAATTTACGAATTTATTTATCTAGGAGGGAATATTAGATTTAGAATACGTTTACTTGCCATTTCAAAAAAAACCAAAGTTTACTTGACATAACAAGAAATTAAAAAAATATAATTCAAGTTCACTATTTTAGTTAGGGTTTTGAACTTGAATCAAATTTATCTCACATCTTCGAAAAGTATAAATTTATTATTAAATTTTTAATTTAATTAAAATTTTTTTTCATCAAGTATTCTTTTATGATTAACTCTATATTGTTATTATTTTTTTAACTATTAGATAGGAAATAGGAGATAAGGGCAATAGTGTACACATTGAATTTTATCTAAAATATTTTTTAATATAACTGATTCGAGATTCATTTGTGAACATAGACTTAGATCGTTTATAGTCCATAAAACCCTACAAATTTATCCGTTTAAAAATCTAAAATCAACTCGGACCAATCCGGTTAAGCAAAGTTAAAATTAAACTTTGGTCAAACTAAATAAAAATTGGGTTAATTTTCAAAATTCAAAACTTAAATGAAATTAATGTGGTTTTAAATTAAATTTGATGATTTTTTTAAAGCACCACAATTTTTATTGTACCAAAAAAAGTATAAAATTATCAAAATATCCTTATAAAAGTATTTTCGTAATTTAACCTTTTTGAGCTTGGATCTTCATGAAACTTTTCATATCTTAATTTTTTTAATATTTCATGATTTTAGTGTATTTGAAATAATAACTGTACCTTGAAAAATATAAAATTATCAAAATACCCTTATAAGGGTATTTTCATAATTCATCTTTTTCGAGCTCAGATTTTTCATGAAACTTTTCATATCTTAATTTCATAATATTTCATGATTTTTGGTGCATTTAAAATTATAGTAGTACCCTGAAAAGTATGAAATTACCAAAATACCCTTTTAAGGGTATTTTTGTAATTTGACCTTCTCGAGCTTGGATTTTTATGAAAATTTTCAGATCTTAATTTTATAATATTTCATGATTTTTGGTGTTTTAAAATCGAAAAAATGAGCATGGGAACATCGATTTATAAGAAAATGACCTAAATACCAAAAACTTTGCACTAGGGATAAAATAGTCTTTTCATATATTTGAAGGCCATAAAAATTTATCTTTTGTAGTAAATAATGTGGACCATTATATCTTTTATTAATCTTGATCCAATGGCTAAAGGTGGTTCCTTGAAAAAAATAAAAAGATAAGCTTTGACCCTTGGATGAAATCTCATCCAAGGATCTATTTTCATTAAGATTGAAATTTTTATTTATGAGATAACTATTAAAGATGCTGGAGAGATTGGTCAAAAGAGGATGGGAGGAGGCTGAAAAAGACTGGTTGAAAGGGGAGCAAAAACACATAAAAAAAAAAAAAAGAAAGGGCAACTAGTTTTTGTAATGAAGAACCAAAAGAAAAGAAAAAAAGAAAAAAAGATGAATACTAGAGGAGTTTAGAAAAATGGAATCTATTAAAAGGTGAAGAAAAAAAAAAAGAGAAACAAGATGAAACAAAAATAGAACCCTGTGGAAAAGGAAGCCTAGAAGCTATCATAAAAAAAAAAAACGAAAAGGTAACTTCTTTTTCCTCTTTTCCTTGTCAACTCATATGACACATATTCTGTTCAATGTAAGTAGCTGGAAAATAAAAAATGGATTCAAGTAGTTTCTAGGTTTAACTTTCGTGTTTTTAATTTCCTTTGCATGTCGACCAAAAGTTTTAGGGTTCACAGGTTTGTTTTAAATTTTGTTTCTCTTTGGGCTATTGTACATGATTTCAACTTCATGTGGCTTTTTTGTATTTTCTCTTCTCCTTCTCTTGCATGTTGGTTCCTTGCATGAAAACAAAGAATTTTCTCTTTTCATGAGCTACTAGCGAGATGTTTGTAAATAGAAAGTTCAAACTTTTTTTTTCTTTCATGCCTGCGCATAATTGTGTCACTTGTAAATGGAAGCTTAAAGCTTCAATTTGTCTACTGGTTATGTTTTATTTTGTTACATGGCCTTGGCTTATAGGAAGATCTGAATCTTTAAGTTTCTTCCATATGTGTTGGTAAAGTGGTACAAAGGTAGTCCTCTTTTACAAAAAATTGTTTTTTGCATACATGATAATAACTTCATTTAGGTGGCATAAGCCATGGCGTGAGGACCATGACTGTGATTTTGTATATTCTCTCTTTGTTTTACTTTGGTTTGATCTAGATTGGGAAAGTTGTAGCTTTAAAAAAAAGAAAAGAAAAGAATGAATATGCATGAGAGGTAATGACATGGTAACCATGTGCTTGATCACCCTTATGTTTGTTTTAAAAGATGATAGACCTAGACAATTTTTTATAATGAATAAGTTTATTAAAATACAAATCTTAAAAGCTATGGGCCATGATCTTTGTCTTCCTTGTGTTAGTTTTAAATGAGATGGGTTCCTATAAGTTTGTTAGTTCAAATTCCTTGATAAATAATTTTTAAAATATAAAACTTAAAGTTCTTTTTTAATAAAGTTTATTTTCATATGTATTTGATTTTAATTATACTCATACAAGTTGTTTATGATTGTTTAAATTTGATTGCAAACTTGATTCATGCATTTTTTTTATTTCTTTATTATTTGGATTCTTATGGTTGTTTTAATTTAATCTTTCATACTTAAATCTATGTTTTGACATATTTTGTTTACACTAATAATAATAATAATGATGATGATGATGATAATGATGATGATGAAGACATTGAAAGAAAGAAAAAATATGTATGAAATATATAAGAATCTGAAAATTCTTTTAAAAAAATTATAAAAATGAGCTTACTCCAAAAGTCTGCTTAGATGTTAGAGACTTTTAGATAGGTTCGTAAAATTTTAAAATTTGAACCCAAATCTAACTAAAACCTCAAACTCATTTTAAATTGCATGAAAACTTTTTATGAAGTAATCTATTCTCAAATGCCGTTTAGATGCCGGGATATTTAGGAAATTTTATTTCATTAAAAATTTTCCTACATTTTTGCAACTCGAAATAAATTCATTAAATTAACAAGTGTAAAAATAATAAAAAATAATAAGACAGAATTTTAAATAAAAAAAAATTCACTCAAAAACTCTATCTAGATGTTGGAAAGTTCATGGGGTTTCTTTATATTTGAAAACCCATTTCTTAAATTCACATTTCATCATCATTTTGCATAGGTTTTGTTTTTAATTTAATGTCTTCATTTATAATGTTTATATACATATGTTTGTTCTAGTTATGGATGTTTAATATTAATTATATTATAGTCTTTTTTTTACTAGGTCAAACGTTTTCTTAAAATTATTTAATTTTGAATAAATAAAATTAAAAAAACATTTTGTAAAATATAATTGATTGGTACTTTGCCTAGATGTTAGGAAGAAATCAATAATTATCATTTACAAGTAATGTTGTTTTATTATTTTTAAAAGGAATGTTATAATAAATCTTAAATGGAAAGACTATTTTCAAATTCTGCTTTTATGTTGGAGACTTTGAGGATATTTCTTTAATTTGAAGATTTTCTTAATATTCCTAAATAAAAGATTTTTTTATTAATTTCTCACAAAATAAAGGGAATTAATTAAATTTTATATAGAAAACCATTTTTATCCAAAATTATAAATAGCGCATAATTAATTAGTACCAATTTATCAGCGCTGTGGGGGTGTTAATCTTTTCTCACGTGTAACCAACTCCCGAACTGATTCTATTTTCGCAAGCCAAAATTATCTTTTTAATAAAGCTTTTAACTTGTTTTATTGTTTTATTAAAAAGATAAAATTTTGAGTGATGAATCACACCCTAAAAAAGATTGGTGGTGATTCCCTGTGTTTTTTGCGATTGAATTAAATTTTTATGTCTAGCGATTGAGTCTCCGGACTGATACGTTATGACAACTTGGCAACTCCGCATAAGACTTTTGAGAGTCAGGCTAAAAATTTTAATTATGCGCTATTAATAATTGTTAGATTTAATTGGTTTTATTTGATACTTAATTTAATTCCCTTTATTTTAATTTTTCAAAAAAAATAAAATAAAAAATAAGTTAATAAATAAAATAAATTGTATGTTAGTTAGTTAGTACTTTATTTTGATAAAATAAATTGCATGCTAGTTGGTACTTTATTTTAATAAAAAAATTGCTTATTAGTTATTACTTTGTTTTGGTTT